AGGACGGGTGACGGGGCGGGGCGGGGGAGGGTGAATAATACAAAATATTCCAAGTGACATATCTTCGATGTGGCCGTGTTCTGCCGCTTATGAGCATTCATTCGGTGCAGAGACTGAAAGGGACACACCGTCTGCTTCGATTCAGGAAACATCATCACCCAAGCCAGACAGGTAATGCAATATGCATGTAAATTATTATAGAACAAGCAACTTGGTTTGCTGGTTGACGCGAATCAATGATTAAATGACACAATATAAGAAAGTGCGTGTTTGTGTATGGGTTCCCCATCGCATCAAAAATCGAGACCTGTACATCACAGAATGATTGTGCCCCACTACATCGACCAATATGTGCTTTTGAATTAAAAAAGGCGACCAGGTACAATGTGGTGATTGACGCGTTCAATTTCAGTTTAGTTCGGTTTACTGCGGCTGCTCGCTCTTTGGAAAGAGTAGGCCGGCTCCAGACATGATCATGAAGTTCCTTCGGAGTATGGTACGAGAGACGAACCCAGTGTCACTCGACGATTATTTTATTTTGAGGGCGCACCTCTAGCCTTTGCACAACGAATTACGAACTGCAAGGCAGCAAGAAGNAATTGCTCGCCTCGGAAGTGTGGGGGTCAATGACTTTAGTTTAAAAAAAGCCAGTCACATCGACCTTTGTCATTGGGCTTTTAAACAGGAATAGGTAATCTGCAAGTGGCCCAACACACCCTGTTAGTGCCGCCGCTGTTTGTTCGCGATTGCTTATTTGTTGCGGTATGCCATAACTTATTCACAGCTCACGTTCTTTGGTGAACGGATCCCCTATTCAAAATTCGGGGAAGCGCCAACGGTAGCATTCAGTTCTGCTTAATCCGAGGGTATCGGAAGCAAACTTCATTGAACTGACGTGTGCGGTCGAGAAGGTCTTAATAATAATAATAATAATAATGGTGAAAGAGAGTATACCGGATTGGAAAATAATTTTACCAGGACCAGGGAGTCAGATGTCCGACACGTTGATTCAGCGAGGCAGATTGGAAGTAAAATTAATCGAGTGATTGCAGCAAAAGATGGCAAAACCGATAGTAGGAAAATCGCTCCTCCTCCTCCTCGTTGTTGTTGTTTTTTAAGGATAAAAATCCATTTCTACGTGTTCCTTGGCACATTGAAGTGTTATGTTGAAATTTTGAAAAGTTCGGTGGGACTCATTCGCGGATGCCGCCTACGCATTCGTACAGTGCACGCTTTATCAGCTGGGCTGCGAGGCCAGACCGATAGCACTGATCTTTCCATTTTCAAATCACTTATTTACTTCAAATTTGTTTTCACTTTTATTTTCGCATGAAGCGAGTAGTTCAAACCGGATCAACGGAGCGAATTGATAAACAAATTCTGAACATTGTGAAAGGCACTTCTTTTGTCCCAATGCTTTCCAACCTCATCGCTAACGGCCATCACAGCGCCTAATTCTGTAGCAATGAATTTGACCTCTTATTTCAACATCTCGCATGCCTACGGTAGGATTCCAAACGGAGTATTTCATTGTTAAAGAAAGAGAGAGAGAGAGAGAGAGCGAGGAAACCGAAGTTTTTAGAATGAACTACTGCACCTGATAGGGTTGGTGCAGCAAAACCTTAAAATATGACTCGGGAACGGAACTGTGTTCGTGTCTAACCAAATTACTGCTTGAACGCGATCAGATTTCCCACTATCAATAAGATCAAACAAGCTTCGGGCTCAGAACTACGCTCCATCGAACGAGTTTTCTAAATGTGGACGACCAGATCACTTATAGTAATAAAAACACCGATCGTCGGTTATCCGCATACAGTTATACCAAGGCAACGGGAAAATATCAACGCATCGGCTGCATCTACCGGTTGGCCCTGAATGACGAGTAAGTAAGTAACAGATGCGACTACTCGAAACGGAGACTGAAAAACGACATCCACCAGTCTCATGCGTAAGCGGGACTGAGTCTAGAAACAAGGACCGCAGAGGGATAAAAGGACTCGCGAGTCCTTGTTTGTGGACTGAAAACGCTGTACAGATCCGGCTCGCATCGATTGAATTACCGATGTGAGTGACAAACAGTCGAACAACAGAATAAATGATGAAGTCTATTTTTGACGGGATTACAATCACCGGTGAGGATCAGACAAATCCGACTAACTTTACAACACATAAACACACATTCGAGTAAAGATTGAAAATATCACTCAAACAAATACATTAGGATTGTACATTTGATCACTTTAGTACTGTAATAAATATCGATTTCAATTATTCATCTGCAATGAAAATAACACGTCATCTGCTGTTTAGCCTCGTTCCCGTGTGTGTGTGTGTCATTGTCTTACACAACATCGGTAGGACATTTGCTATGCTTTTCCCTGGTGAAATTCCCTTCTATTCCAACAAAAATCCCTCGGTTCATTCGTGTTTGCCATCTTATCCGTCTGTGTTTTGACAAACGTGGATTGTTATCAGCTCAAAAGCTGTCAACAAAATTAGAGGTAAGATGAGCAATCATTCAAAGAGGCAGCTAACGTTTGCACCCAGATTGACAGCTTAGTCATTTTCAACGTGGCCCGCCCATTTTTATCACTTGACTTGTACGAAGCAAGAGATTTAGTTTATTCGTAACCGAAATCAAACGAACGGACATAAATCGCGATCTGGTTCCTTCGGTCTCCTCACACTCCATCAATTGTGCAGAGCATGAGATTTGTTGGTGAAATTTTGAGTGGTGAACTGTTACCCCGTTTTTGATGAGATTCGTCAGCATTACCGGTCCCTGACGGAGCGCGCGAACTGCGAACCTCGAGTTGGGAACCAAAAAAGTTATCCATTAATCACATATGAGATAGACAAAAAAACATGATTGCACAGCTGCAAAAATTGCTTCTCGTTCAAGAATATGTGTATGTGGCTGGGTGGGAGGAGAGGAAATACTGAACTTCTAAGGGGTGAGGTTCATACGATAAAACTTCTATTTCGCCTGTTCGCCGAGCTTGGCAATTTGTTTGCAAACATTTCATCACCAGTGCTTGTGTGAAAAGGGGCAGTCTTCTGCTTGTTCTCGACGCTTGGAACT